CGATAAATTACCACCTAGAGTAGGAGAACAAAGACAGACAACTGATAAATTACCGCCTAGAGTGGGAGAACAAAGACAGACAACTGATAAATTACCGCCTAGAGTGGGAGAACAAAGACAGACAACCGATAAATTACCGCCTAGAGTGGGAGAACAAAGGCAGACAACCGATAAATTACCGCCTAGAGTGGGAGAACAAAGACAGACAACCGATAAATTACCACCTAGAGTGGGAGAACAAAGGCAGACAACCGATAAATTACCGCCTAGAGTGGGAGAACAAAGGCAGACAACCGATAAATTACCGCCTAGAGTGGGAGAATGAACACAAAGAGAGAACAAACGCTAGAGTAGGAGAACGAACGTAAAGCAGACAACCAATTCATATCTACAGGATAAAATCTCCCAATGAAGGAAACAGCACGTTGAACAAAGAACGAAGAAACACTCAATCGTCAACATATGGTGTTATGAATTCCACCCCCACCACCCCGTCCTTCTGTGCATTAACAACTAGACAGTGCAGATGCAACATTTACGGACTTTAAAGCCGACAAACCGCGATCGGCTGACGATTTATGGCGCCGCACGTAAACAAGCGCGTAAGTAAGAAGCGCGTAAACAACATTCTGACATCTGCGTTTGAGTGCGTACCAGCATCCAGCGCGCTGACGATCTCTCTTGTAATCAGCGGCAGCAGAATCCTGCGATAAAAAACACCGTCAAGAACAAGGGTTAGGAGTGCCGCCCAAGGTTTAGACGTACAAGCAAGCAGCAGAAGCAAATCCGATCTAAAATAACAACTGTTGCGATCTAAATAGTAATGATTGCCAGCATGAATTATCACAAAAATATAGATAATAGACGGATGATAGAAAATCATCGTAACACACAACAGCACAACCAGAATAAATAATAATAAATCATATTGATTTATTTATATTGCACACATTACATGCAAATATGTTCACGTGCGCATCGCCATTACAAAGGCTGATTATAAAACAGCAGACAATATAAACAGAGAGACTCATCAATAGGCTGCAAACGTTTGAAACTCCCAGCCACTCACTCAAACTCACGTTTTGGCAGCGATGAGCAGTGCTGGGGTGACGAGGGCAAACCCAACTTGACTCTGTATCTTCCCAACCATACTCAAGCCGAGGTAGAATAGAGCCGTGGCCGTGAAGGAATCCGCGAGGACCTTCAGGATCGGTTCGATCGCTGATGGCAGCTGCAAGTAAAACACCGTGGCAACGGTTCGTCTTGATTAGCCGACGATCCACTAGAGTGGAACGAGTCTCCAAACAGAACATCACAGACGCGTGACGCATATTCAGAAGCGTACAAACACAAACATGCACGCACGCACACACGCACGCACACACAACACACATGCACACACACGTCACACACACACATGCACACACACACACACACACACACACACACACACACCCACAACACGCACGCACGCCCGCGTGCGATGTCTGCAGCTACTAATACTACCCACCTGCTGATGGAAGACAAAGTTGCCGATGAGGCCGACGACGGTCATGAAGACGATGGGGTTCAGCGCGATGCCCTTGAGGATGTTTCCGACGACGCGGTACCAGGACGCGCGGCTGTCCGAGTGCCACCAGCGATTTACCTCCAGCAGCGCGAAGCCGATCGGGTTGAGAATGACGAGCGAGATCGGCGCGATGAGGTAGATGTACTGCATGTAGTCCGGGTGCACGTTCGCGTAGAGGGCTTGCACTGCGGGAGCGCACGCGCGTACACAATGTGTGGTTAGACACAGCATGTTGCAATAGACGGTTATGTACTGTGTTTGAGGTACGATGCGTCGTGACGTGGGGTGTTTAACGTGAGAGATGGCAATTTGAGTACGGCTTTTTAAATACCATCTACTGTGACGTAGAACATTTGATACGAGATAGCAGTTTATGTACAGCTTTTGACGTATGATGTGCGTTTTCGGGCAGTTTTTTGCATAAGACACACATCCACAATACATAACAAAAAAACATACGAGACACCGTTGTGGTGAGACATCACAACAATATTGATTACTGACTCAGATAACTCTGATATACCACCACAACACCCTAGTCTGTCAATGATGCTTGAGAGTCTGCAGCAATAAACACTTACCGATGGGAAATCCGAGAGCAAAGTCATTACTCTGTGTTGAGAATATGGCGTACATGCCTGCCTTGCCCAGCTTGTTCCGCCGAGAGAGAAGTATCGTGAAGAACGCCACAACTGTGAAGAACACACACAATGTGCAGTGAACAACACAAACGAGTTAGTGCCTACTCGGAAAATGTCAAACTGATGCCACATAATGACATTGCATCACATATGCAATGCGCACAGAATTTTCTGTAAACAATCGCAATGGATGAGTATATTATATGATTACACCACGCTTGCACTCAAGTGAAAAAAGTGACACATGCAAATATAAATTCAAATGGAAATACCTGCAACTGACCCCCATCTCACATACAGAACACATGTAACATTCTCGTTGATTTTATCTGATACGTTTCACATAACTTGTCGTGGGGGGTACACGTAGCCTGTGGCCGGACTCTCAAGCTCACTTACGGACGAACACGCAGGTCTTTGCTAGAAGAATACTTCCGAGAAACCTCCAATTGACCGTGTCAAAACGCAGCTCAACCATAGCCTTGAAGACGAGTGCAGGCAGGGCAAAGTTGGCGACGAAACGCCCTGAAACGAACACGTTTAGAACACACACGTAAGCCTCCACTTGTTTTACTCATCGCCATTTCGCTGCTTTAGTTAAGGTGTCTACCAGGCATATCGGGAATTAGCACCAATTAGCATAATTCACATTAACGGAACGATACACTTCACATAGTAGATTGGCTTCTAATAAATAGCAAATAATGTTACGTACACATTGAGTAAAACCAATCTATATGGATCCCTCAAATAATTGCAAGTGCTAGCAAGCTACGTGGTTTTGCGCATACTCACCCAATCCCCTCGCCTCGGTTGAGGATATGAGATTGGTGCGGCCAGCGCAATATCCAGAGAGTATTACGATGAAACATTGCAAGATTGCCGGATACAAGTTGCTGAAGGAAACCTCAGAGTGAAGGCCATCCGCCATGGTTTCTGACAGGGGCCGATATCGAGACACCTGGTAAAACTGTCGACGAAACACCTGCAAACGCACAAACAACCACTCGTTTACACACTACTCTCAAGAATACAGCGAGTAAACACATGAAAAAACAACTTATAACATACCATGTCTTTTCGGGGAGCAATACGGTGCAGTGAAAACGCACAATATGAGTCCAGCAGACTTGTTTTCCGCAATGTGGCTGACAAACGAACTATGAACAGGTCTGAAAGCATTTCTCATTTTATTACGCTCACGGACATGCTCAGTACCTTCCCGCTATTTTAAACGCAATTCATCTGGTGTCCATTTCTACAACCGCACGTCGCATTAGCACTGCCAAACTGTTAGCAATAAGCCACTAAGCTTTCATTGTCCATTACTCACAAATGGCACATGCCTTTTAGTTGTGAAATCAGAAAATTGATCGAATGCATTAGATGTGACAGCGAGTGATGGCATTACAGCGTCGCTTTCAATTACTGACACTTGATGTCATTTGCAGCCATTTTCCTAGGTATTTGCTGGAGGCCAAATGTTCGTGCACTCAGTCATACATAGTCAAGATGTCTTTTTTCAACATCAACAATAAGAAATAAATAGTGAAAAAGCTCAAAACTAAAACATATTCCAGCATGTTTTACCACAACTCTAACTAAAAATAAGCATACATCTAGAGTAGTCAATTGCATGCTCTCCTGATTAAAAGTGGGAACACGCGCGCACGCACGCACGCACGCACGCATGCACACACACACACACAGTTACCACAAAATCGCACAGCAAGATTCTTCGTTGTGAATAATGACATTTTCCTATTCAATTTTGCTAAATAATTAGCCATACTATTGCACACAAGGCTACACCTCTCTTTGCATCTGTGATCCTAACGCTTAATGCTAGCTATAGTAATACAATAAAACTTGTATACAATGAGCCTCAAGGGAAGTACAAATTGGCATATAGACGACCTACAAAATGGCCTTTATAGACAGGATGGTGGTCATTATGAATTTTAACTGCATGAAGTATACAATGCATATTATCAGTGGGCTGCCTCTATCCAGGTTATATGCCTATGTACAGTCGTTTCTATAGTATTGTAAATTTACATAATAAAGTATATATATGACTTCCACAATAACACGTGCATTGTTCACGCACACCTCTTATCGCATTTATATTTTTCGCTTCATTACTGCATGCACAGGTACGTGTTGCAATTCCACACGATCACACAGTGTCCACATATTAAACCATGAGCAAAGGATAATTTAACCTCAAGAACACAACCTTACATAAATTCATGTTGATGCATGAATAAATTGCAGTACAATAATGAGGCATTGAGTGCTTTAATCAAGCAGAAAACTTTCTTAATTAGGGTTCTCCTCCTATGCCTTTAAAGTAATTATTGCGAGAGTTTTCCAGTGATTTCACCACTTTCATGATACCTACCGTTATTGCTTGAGTAACAGCAATTGTCTAGAGTAACGATAAAATGCCTTAGAACCTTCGTATTCACCAAATCATGCACAATTACAAATCGCGAGAATTTTATAATTTCATTCGTGATTTTGCGTGACACAGCTCTGTTTCGAACTGAGACATAATATTTCTACAACAAGTGCACACTGTTCTTCAATTAGCAGCAAAGATGGAGTCGGAAGGTTGAGTATTTGTGTTGTAATCATGTGAAATGCAGTGAGCGTCGAGCGAATTTCTGGCGCACGCTTTCTTACCTGCTACTGCTATATATTTAACTGTCGCCGTGCATAGCACACGACCCCTGCGTATATATTTTATTGAAACGCTTCAAGTGCCTGTGGGTATGACGAGTGATCATACTCACAGCTAGGGCCTGCATACCTCCCAATTCCCATTGGTTGATACAAATGACGTGCCTGAAACTCCTGTTTTAATAAAACTTTTATGGTGCATTGTCACTTGTTTTGTGACCCTAACCCTATAACCCTAATCCTAACCCTAACACTACTTAAAATTTAATTACAAAAATTAACTACATTTGTATCAACCAATGGGAGTTGGGAGGTATGCAAGCCCTAGCTGCGAGTAGTTCATTCATTGATGTTGTTTGGAAATTTATGGCCATATTTTCATTGCCCACTCGGTTCCAAGTTGCTCTGGCTCGTTGTACGGAATAATAATGAAATGTTGATTAGGTAGAGGTTCCCGATGATACGCACGCATATTTAAGCAACACGAATCATTATGTAAACATAACTAACCTTTTATTTGGTGTACGTGACTTTTAGTTGTCCGATGTTCCTTTCGCCATGACAGTTACACTTAGACAGGCTCTACGCCGTTAGTTAAATTTTGTTGAGCTCAGCTACAACGACGTGGTCTTCATCTAAAAAGTGGTAGCGTGTGTGTAGCCGCGGTAACCAGTTACCTGTTCCACAAGTTATTTTTACTGGAAGTGGTGCCAGTGGCAGTGATAGGGTACCCTTTACTCGTTTTTTAAATTGATGTAGTTGAGTCTGAGTTCTAAGAATTTTTGAAACATTTATCATAGGTACCTACCATTTGAAAGTATTTTTTTAAGTATTTTTAAGTGCTAAAGTGGAGATACCTTTTCCTTTTGACACAACATTTATACCGAATAATGACCTCACTACCTACTAGCAGTTTGTACACAGAGACGTGTGTGCGGGAATTTGACGAATTTAGAGTACAACTGTACATAATTGAATTGATTAATGATTAATAATTGAATTGATTATACGGTAATTTGACGATATAGAGTACATAAGTTACTAGTCAATACAATTCAGGTGGATTGCATGTGTGATTCTCATGGTTAAAGTCTAAAGACTGCAGGGTATAAGCGCTGACCATTTTCACCATCCATTCCACTACGCGCCACTAAGACTCCGTGCCCGCACGACAAGCAACGACAGCGAGCGTCAATGAATCTCCAGCTATGCTCGCGCGTGAACTCACCTGAGACACGAGCAGGCAGCAGGTGAGGTTGAAGGGGACTAGGCGCCACTTCTTGCTGAGCAGGAACACGACGATCACCCACAGGCTGAGCGCCATGCCGAGGATGCCCGCGTCAAACATCGTGTCAATGACGAGATACTTGTAGTCAGACTCGCTCGTCATCGTCAGCGTGACCATCTTCGCTGAGAGGAACATGAAGGGAGCGGAGAGGAAGGTGCACATGACGAGACCGCCCCCCACCTGTAAAGACAATATACACGCGATTAGAAAGGATCGACTCCAAATAATGTTGACGCGCGAAGGGTGCTCATGGTTCATACAGAAGGACTTAAATTTTTTCCAAGGACTTTTCAAAGACTTTTCAAGGACATTTTATCGGAAATTCAAGGACATTTTATCAGACATTTTATCGGAATTCATACACAGAACAAAACATACCTAGATTAATTTAATAACCCCATTCTTAATCACTGCATGTCACCTCTAAAACTTACCTGGATCACATTAATAAACCCTTCTAAACACTGTCACTTCTACAACATACCTTGATTTACCTACTTATTTTACTGACTTACTGTAATTTGTGATCATCATTTAACTGTCTATCGTGTCTATAGCTTTTTAAGCTCATTTAACGAAATTTTTATTGAGGTTTGCACATTATTGAT